TCTCTCTCTCTTTCTTTCTAGTTTTCTTGATATAGTATTCACATATCATATACTTCCATGGTTAAATCACTTTTAAAATGAGTTGAATAATCACAATCAGTTCTAGTGCCCCCTCTCCCCTCCTGCATTGTTTGCTCCCCAAATCCCTTCACCCTCCCTATCTCTCACCCACTACCCCCACTTCCCCTGTAAACCACTGTATCAGTTACTTTCTCTATGTATCTGCTCCTTCTGTGCTTCACAAATTGGGAAACCCACCAGAAACAATAAAAAACAAAATGAAATGGTAAGGATAAAATAATAATAATATAAAGATGAAAATACAAATAATTAGTAAAACAGAAAATACCATCATCAATATTTAAAAAGTGGGTGGGGGAGAGAAATTTTTATCATGGAACAAGCAAGAAATACTTGAGCCTAGAATAAATTGACGTTGGGTCAAGAGAGAGGCTAACTGACCAAGTATCGTGCTCGATCCAGCATAATCAAGTTTACAATGATTTCTGTCTGATAGTAAGTACTTTGGGATATGTACTTACCACTAATGTACCAAAAACAAGCTTTGGTGATGGGAGTTCAAACCAACCCAGTGACCTCCAGCGATGACAACCTAGAAAATCCTATGGGGAAGTTCTGCTTTGTCACATGTTTGCTCTGCGTTGAAATAAAATTGATACCACTTAAAAGCAACAGCCAAACATCAAAACGATTGAAATGTATTTTCCCCCTATGGAACAGACTGGTTACTCGTCACTAGGAGTGGGGATCAAGAGAGTATACAATTCTGAAAGGCATGCTTTCATGTCGGTTCTGACCCATGGTGACCCTGTCAAGATGATGAGAATACTGTGGTACTCCTTTAGGGCGGCCTACTTTTCATGTCCAATGACATCAAGCATTTCTTTTGAACTAGAGATGTCTGAGAGATCTGAAGATCTCTCTTAAAAATAAAGATATCTTCACTTAAAATGTCACTATTAAGAATTTTTTAATTTTAATTTAGCCAAGGTAGATAAAAGGAAATTGAGCACAAGAGTAATTTTATCATCTGTTCACTTAATTTCAAGATTGAGAACTACTTTATGGCGATTATCCTTCTGATATCTTTAAAAATGCAGTTGCATAATAAGTATTTTTTAAGTCATCGCTTTTTACTTTTTAGGAACTATTCGGTATAGTTGAAAGATGTATGTTTTCTCTAAAAGTGAATATTGATAATCAATTACTTAACATTCTGTTGTTTTTCATATCTATGTATATAGGAGCAGTATCACTTTTGTTATAAAATTGTGCTCGAAGTTCTTCAGAAAATTCTGACTTTGGATTAAGAAAGACTTCTGTTGCTTCTCACTTGAAATTACCACGTGGCTTGGAACCTACTCACAAAGAACATGTTCTAGCTGTGCCAAAGGGATTTGCTGTCTATACACAGTGATTTCTTGATACCTTCAATTGATTTTCTTTCTAAAGCTCCTTGAAAGCAGCATACTTTGGTTTCCTGTCCACTCGTATATATTATCAGACAAATAAAATATATTCATAAAAAATTCTCAAAAACATCAAAATGTTTTTTAATGAAACAAAAGTTCCATTAAAGAAAAAAAATACTGTAGTTTGCTATTTGGATGAAGGGATTACAGAATGCAATAATGAAATAAACTAGACCTTAGAGAGTCCTTATGCTGTGAGAAAGTAGGGCCAGTAATCTACGGGAACACATAATGATCTCCTGCAGGAATTTTGAGACAGCTATTGCCCATGTTCATTAGCTAAAAAGTCTGTATTTCTAGCTGATTTTTGAATAATTAAATTTACAAGCGAGTCCAATTAGGATAGAGTAACTTTCAAAGCAAATCAGATCCCATTGGATGCTTTTTATCTAAATTTATTTCCAATGTTCCCATGGAGACCCAAGGACCTCCAAGGATGAGCTGCTTTTTAGAAAGCAACTGAACAAAGACCTATTGGTTTGGAAAGCGTTTCATGGGTGAGCATAGTTTCTCTTTCCTATCACGAGTTCACTGATGAGTAGTCCAAACCTGAAACAGAATGGTATGTAGAAAGTCCACAGGGTAATTTCTGCTCAGCTTCAGCTCTTCGTTCCTGTTCTGCTCTAATTCAACATAGTCACCTTTGTTAAAAGCAATTA